GGCTCACTGCTTTGGATTTCAGCTTAGGGTCTACGGTTCCGGGTCTAGGGTTTAAGGGTTTAAGGTTTAGGGTTTAGGGTTTACGGTTCCGGGTTTAGGGCTTAAGGTTTAGAGCTTAGGGTCTACGGTTTCGCGCTGAGGAATTGCAGTGGCCTCCCTGGCACGGGGCCTTCCGGTTAAGGGTTTAGGGTTTTAGGGTTTAGGGTTTGGGGTTTAGGGTTTAGGGTTGTTCTGAACCCGAAACCCAGAAGACTCCTTATAGGCCTCTAAAAACAACCCTTACGGGGGAGGGGGACTTCATAGAAACCTTCTCATAGGAACCCCGAGCTGATAGACCTCTGGACGAGCCTTTTTGGAACCCTTGCAGAAACCCTGAAAGGACGCATGTTTAGGAATCCTTGCAAGAACCATACTTGGAGGTTCATGGATAGTTATACGCAGGGTGATAAGTAGGATAACTAAAGTTGCAACCTAAATAAGGGGACTTACAACTCCACTTGCAACTGCCCAGGAACCCTAGACCAGAGATCCTATGGAACTCTTCCAGGAACCCTACTTCTAACCCTACTTATAGCTACCCATGAACAAGTCTAAGTAAGCCTTGCTCGCCCGGTGGCCTGGCGAAGTGCTGGCCCAGGGCTTGCCTAGTCTGTAGCCAGGCTTAAGGGCTTTAGGGGTAGGAGTTGGTTTAGGGTTTAAGGGTTTTAGGGCTGGGGTAGGGCTTGAGGGCTTTAGAAGCTGGAGTTGGTGGTTTGAGAGCTTTAGGGTTTGAGGGCTTGGGGTTGAAAGCTGTCGGGCTTAACAGCTTTATGGCTTTAGGGTTCTAGTTTACGCTTTCGGGTAGCAGGCATAATTTATGCTTTGGGGTTTGGGGTTTGGGGGGAGGGAAGCAAGCAGAAGCTGAAGTTGACGGCTTCGGCTTCAGGAAATACTAGGGAAAATGGCCTGAGTTGGGGCTTTCGGGTGTATTGTAGCGTAGCAACTATGTGAGAAGATGAGGACCATAGAGATGTATTCTTGGGCTTTCTATGGCTGTACAGGTTTAGGCTCCTTGGTGCCCAAGACACTCTCAACTCTTGGCCAGAATTTGCCTTTTTCGGCTGAATCCTAGCAACTGAAAGCCTGAAAAGACGGGGATGCTGTCATCTGGCGGCTTCGATTCAGTTCCTGTAAGGCCAGGATGGTAACCATTCAGGCTTGGATAGAACCCTATACTAAACCCTTATAGGAGCCCTTTGAAGGAACCCTTATACAACCCTATACTAAAACCTTATAGGAGCCCTTTTAAGGAACCCTTATAGAACCCTATACTAAACCCTTATAGGAGCCCTTCTAAGGAACCCTTATAGAACCCTATACTAAACCCTTATAGGAGCCCTTTTAAGGAACCCTTATAGTAACCCTGAGCTCCGGGAGCCTCGAGCCTGACAGCCGTCAAGCCTACCTGTAGCCGAAGAGACCTACCTTTTTAGGGCTCCTTATTAAGGTTTCTACGTATAGTTCCTGGAAGAGGTAAGTCTTTTGGGCTAAGCCCTAAATAAAGCATAAACCCTAAACCCCTAAACCCTAAACCCCTAAACCCCAAACCCTGTACTGTAAGCTTATCCATGTCAAGAAGCCCACATGGTCTCAGGGCTTCAGCACAGCTGCTCCCTGGCTCTTAGGTAGGGAAACGGGGGAATGGATCCCCATCATCGTCCGCTAGGGCGGCTTCTAGTAGTCCCTATAAGCGCCAAATTCCCTACTTGGAGGTTCCTGGGTAGATATAAGTAGGGTCTAAGGATGACAACTATAGCTATAAACTATCTTCGGCGACTTTTTGCTGCACCTAAAGCTACCCATGAACCTCCAAGTAGAGCCCCCTATAGAGCCCCTATCGAACCCTTAGACCTTAAAGACCCCTTATAAAGGAACCCAGATACTAACCCAAGCACCTGATTATTGGGTCCTTTGGACCCTTGGGGTAAGAGCCAGGGAGATTTTTCTGTCCAAGGAGCTCCTGCGCCTGATCTGGGAGGCCACCGACGAAGACTTTGAGGCCATTTCGCACGGCCTGACTCCGAGATTCCAAAACTCACTGAAGTTAGGAACTATGCTTCCAAATCAGATTAGGGATCTCCCTAGAACTTGAGGTATAGTCCTTCAGTCGGAATATGGACCTCCCTATGACTAAAGGATTATTCCGCAATTAATACGGCTTCGGATGGCCTAACCATGACACTCAAGGCGATCTCGCGATGGAGATGAGACTGACATAGGGGCCATAATGACAGCATTAGACATTAGACTATTTGGGGATGCAGGTTTAGGGTTTGGGGTTTGGGGATGTACCTTTGGTTATGGTATACCAGTCTATTCTATAGGGACTATAGATATAAGGGGAGTGCTCATGAGTGCGCAAGAGCACTGCGTTTCGTAATCGAAATCATACCCCGTGCACATGCCAAATCATTGAACTTAGGGTATAGGTTGTAGGGTTTGGGGTGTTGGCAGGATTCTGACGTCCCCCAAACCCTTACGTCTTAGTCCCTACCATAAGCCCTGAACCCTGGAGCAAAAACACTAGTGCGCATTCACGGTAGGGTTTGCAGGATTTGGGACGGGACGGTTCGCAAGTTCAGAATATGACCTGGTTAATGTCTTAACCCCAAGGGTCCAAAGGACCCAATAATCAGGTACTTAGGTTTCGGATAGTAGTTATGTAGGTTACTACTTGGGAGAGTATGTGATTATGAGGTACTTGGACCCTTGGGGCAAGGCGAACTGTGCACGCTTTGGCGATTAAGGCTCCAGGCTGATGGTGCGTTCAAAAGTCCTTAGATCCCCTGGCCCCTCAAACCTCCCGGAACCCTAAACTCAACAGGGTTTGAGGTTTCGGGCCTTGAGAAAATGTGATGAACTCCGTGAATATTTCAAACAAAACAAATCCAGATAATCTCTAGGCTGGGCCTGGGGCATTCTCCTAAACCCCAAACCCTAAACTTAGGGCAGCAGCTTTGTAGTTTGAGGGTTCAATCAAGAGCTAGCAATCACATACATGTACCCCACACCCTAAACCCTACACCTGTATGATACCCTTATAGATCCGTTGATGCCGCTCTTTCCCCAATTCTTAAAGGCACCCCTCAAAGGGTGTGGCTGCATTAGATGGCAGCTCAGCCAGGTCGAGGTTCAAGAGTTCGGTACAGCTGCGGGTTTAAGGGGGCTGTTTCTTTGGTTTTGGGTTGTGGGGTTTGCGGATTTTAGGGTTTAGGGCTTTCTAGTGCTTTAGGGTTTTGTTTGTGTGTTTTAGGGCAGGTTGGCCTTCAAGACTTAGGTTGTAAGGCTGCAAAGGAGTCGTTGACTCTTGTAACTCGTAGTGTTTCAGACAGCCGCAGACACCCGAACTGGCAAAAGCGAAAAGGCAAGCCTGAACGATCTAGAATAGGGCTTTAGGATCTTCGATGCTACTGAGGTACTCTCATGAAGAGGACCCCCGGTCGTGTATCTGTGGCAGCGGTCCTAAAAGGTGGAATGCCAATGAATCGGATATCTTTCAAAAGGAGCAGACCCAGACCCCCAAACCTCAAAGCCTACCAGGACCCCGCAAGACACGCTTGAAAGGGCCCTTATGGTCATTGAATATGTCGTGGCTAACTCAGGGTCAAAAACGAGAGTACAGTAGTTGAGTCTCTACAGGTAAAGATCGAGCAACCTACGCTTTAGGTTTTACTGGCTGTTCAAGAACTTTATTGAGGTTACCATATTGGTGCTATATAGTAAGTCATGCGGTTTCCTTATGATGGTAGCTGGGTTTGAGTTCCTTCACAACAACCTACTACAGGGATGGCACCTCGTCGTCTTGCTTCCCCATCCACGCCCGCCCAAGACGCGCAGGGAGCAGAAGCCCCCACAGACTCCAAAACCCCTCTGTGTCAGAAATGGGCCTCAACAGTACATTTGATAAACCTAACTGGTCATGCACCCTCAGCAACCTATTTAGTCCTTCGTTTAGCTTTTCCTCAATTCTCAACGCGTAGCTGTCCGAATTCAAGGCTCTGGAGCTCTCTACTAATCTTCGGGATGTAAGGCCTACGGGTTCTGGCACTCGATGCCTGCATGGTTGGAGGCCTAGGGGTACTGCTTACGGTCAAGAGGGCTAGTGTTTCCTTAGCTGCTCAGCATTAACAACTTAGACTAGACTTGAATGCAGGATGAGAAAGCTTAGGAAGCCTAGATTTGAGAATGTTGGGCATAATCACTAATGCTCGAGACGAAACGATGCAAGGGGTGTAAGCTGTTTCTCATCGGTACATGCTCAGAGCCATGTCCAACGTAAGCCAAGGAGAGCTGCAGATCTTGCCAGAACCGGCCAACGACGACATCCTGCCCTTCAGACACTATGAATTCTGCGGGTCTAATTCGCTGCGTAGTATAGGATTCAGGTTTCGTGCTTAACTGGGTATCTCATCGGTGCAAATTCAACATGCTATTGACGTGCTATTGCGGGTTTGAGCAATGCAATACGTTACTCGACTGCAAGCCAGGTCTAGACCAAACGCTGGATGGACAGTCACGCACCAAGATTCTCTGCGGCAAGCTATGACAGCTATGACTGCTGGATGTGACCTCGAGCCCGGAAATGCAAGGCCCCGGAGGCCTCAACGTATAGCTCTGGCCCCTAGGTAAGCTCAAATATGCCAAACCCGGAACCTTCAGTCAGCCCATGACAGGTCTGTAGAGGCTTCGGGCCATACAGCGATCGAAGTCTCACAGCTATTTTCCCTAAACACTAAAAACCGTAAACCCTAAATCTTAAACCCCCCAAAACCCTCAACTCTGATTACAGCCTATGCCCCAATGAGACCCTTGGCCACAATCTCCTAAGCCCTTCCTTCTTACTTCCCCAAGAAGCCAGGGAATTACAGCTTAATACTTTAAGTTTACTACTAATTGTAAGAACCCAAAAAGTTTACAGGCTGGCTATTGGAGAACCAAGCCTTTAATCTGGCACGGCCTACCTCCTTTAGGATTTTGACCTGGCTCTCGGCGAGTGTGGCAAAAACCTGGCCGAAGTTGAGGGTCTAAGGCTCTTAGCCCTCAAAACAAAGACTTTTTGGCACTTGCTATGATGTCTTTAACCCTAAACCCTGAACCCTAAACCCGAAACCCCATTACATAAGTATCAAGTGCGCATAAGCTCTTTCTTTCTTAAGGCTTAAGGCCAGCTTCCCAGCCTACCCTAAAGGGTGAAGGGACTTCCTAAGCAGCTTTTTGGGCAAGGTAGCTATGGCTACTGTCGGCAGCTGAAAAAATATACCTGTAAGTAAGGTAGCTAAACATTACAACCCAGAGGGTCCACATATACTACCACTATGGAAGTAGGCCCCAGACGATCATCATTAGCATGGTTTTGCGGACTTAGTTTTACAAAATAGTTGTATATAGGGAACCTCTTGGTAAGCAACGTAGCTATGATTACTGTAGCTATAACTTGTGTGTATAGCCACGGCGCAACTTCTATTACGACTTACGATGTCCCCTAATCCCCCAAGTGGTGGTATCTGGGGGGCTTAGGATTCAGGGCAGGTACGGTGGCCTCTTCAGAATTGAAGCTGAGGAGTTGGAACAATTTCTGCATGCCCCTAAGGTCAAAGTTACAGGTAATCCCAGCACGAATCATCCTAGTCCATGTTTCAAGGTCTTTTGGGCTCTCTCCAGTTTGGGTGGGTTCCTCATTGCATCCCCGCATGCCCTTCGCAGTATAGAGAACTCCAACATCAACCATCGCTCATCCATATTCCGACTAGAGTGCCAGGAAGGAGAGAGAGGTTGGGTGCAGGCACAGGGTGCGATATGAGGAGTTTGGGAGGCTTTTTACTATAACTGTACAGGGACTGTAAAGGATCGTATGTTTGCAGATACTTCAGACTCAATTCAGATTTCCATGATTGTTCGAGGATTGAAAGAGGTGAGGCTTATTTCACGAGGGATTCGGCATTCAGCCCAAGATGTGGAACTGTGCTCCCGAGTTGGTTCCAGCGTGTAGTTACACGACAGCAACAAGAGAATGACATGTGGCAGTAGTTGTCCAAGAAGTAAGCATGGGCTACCGAAAAGGCAAGACTAAGACCCACTTGGAACAGCCCTATAAGTCCCAAAACATAAGAGTCGGGCGAAGGCAACCAACGTCGCCGCCAACGCCATAAGGCTGGAAAAGAGAGGCAGTGTTATTAGTTGCGCCACCCCTCCATGGGTGAAGATACTACGTACTCATGTCGATGGGCAGGTTGAACCCTGAAACTCTCGTAAAAGAGCCTGAATACAGCCAACAGGGTTCTGGGGTACATTATCGGACATCTTCGAGCTACGGAATAATCTAGACTAATCGTCCGTGGTGGGCTTTCTGGGTCCGTCTGGCTCCACGGCTAATGCTTCCGGGTTGTGGACCGCCCTTCTACCCTAAGCCCGTGTTGATACAACACATGGCTGAACCAGCAAGCAGTGTGTCGGCGTTCCAACCCTGTATGGCAACCTTGCAGACGCAAGCCAGGTAAGACTCAGAAAGCAGGCAGTAAACCCAAACGCTTAGACCCTAAGCTCTAGACTCTGAACCCACGTGGCCGATCCTTAAACCAAAACCTTAAACCCTAAGCCCAAGCACTTCAACTCTAGACCCTGACTGGAGCCATGTGACTCGGGCTCCCTACAGGACTGCACAAGGCCCTCAACACAGTTTAGGGTTTAGGGTTTAGGGTTTAGGGTTTAGGGTTTAGGGTTTAGGGATTTACACATTTAGAGCTTTGGGTGTTAAGGGTTTAGGGTTTGGGATTCAGGGTCTAGAGCTACGGATTTGGGGTTTAGGAATGACGGCTTGGGGTGTTACATTCCTTTGAGACAGAATGGGCCTTCGAACCCTGGAGCCTCAAAGCCGAATGAAACCCTATAAAACTAAATAATAATATGGGGGGCCTTCAGAATTAGAATAGGATTTTAGGGTATAGTATACTATACTTATAATGAGAAAACCACCAAAACCCTAGTCTAACTATTATAGGCCCCTACATTAAACACTTTCAAACAACCAGCCCTGACCGCAACGGTGCTTTTTGCGCAATCGCAGATACATCCCAAGGGTCCCACGGTGCTTTTGCCTTATGTCTCGGGTAAAGCTAGGACCCGTAGAGGATATAAGAAACACACTTGATCTCATAGGGGCGATAAGGGATACCACTACAAGTACCGAGACCGCTATATTAGCCATTCTCTTTGCCATGAGCCCCGATTTCGGCATGGCTGGCTTCGATAGCACGTGGGTAGTTCTCTAAATTAAAGTCCCTTGTAGCGTCCTTTTCATTGGGGTTGCTGTACTATATTGGGGACCTAAAAAGGGACCCTAATTTAGAGGGCTACCCATATTAGCAGACCCTTCAAGAAATCTTAAACAGAAGTTAAAAACGATTGTACAACCCTGAAGAACCTTTAGAGACACCATGAAGTACAGCATTTGAGGCCTGAAGGATTCCTCATAAAACCGCCAGAAGACCCTTGTAGAACCGTATCAGGTCCAAGACTCTTATAGAACCCTTGCACAGAGCCACTAGAAACCACACCTTCGTGAGAACATAGAAGCCTGTACAAGTACAAATCTTATCACATGAGGGTTCCTTAAGATAGCTACAATATACCCAAACGCCTATTCCAATTAAATATTAAGGCCCCCTTGCACCAAACCCTTACAGTACCTAACCGGTATAGGAACACTTTACAAAAGGGAACCCTTAAAGGAACCCCAAACCCGTAAACTTTAAGGCTTATGTAAAGGAAGCTTATTCTGATCACTACGGCAGTGGGGACCCGATCACTTTCAAGAGCGTGGGGCCCCGAGGACGGCGGGTTGGTCGACGCGAGAGTAAATCTCTGAAGGACCGGCGTGTGACCCTGTTGCAAACCTATATAATTAGGATTTAGGGTTTAAGGTTTAGGAACCCTATTGCTTATCTATATTGGGTTTAGGGTTTAAGGTTTAGGAACTGCAGCTTCTGTCAGCCGATGAGCGTGTCACAACACTGTGATGGTGAATGTGATGGTTGTGATCAGCTAACTTTCGTGCGACGTTGGCTGCCTTCACACTTAGACTACCACTGCAACAACGACTAGGAATCACAAATATCGAACGTCGCTGTTACCAAAAGAAGGAAGCCTAATCTTATTCCGAACAGCCCTAGCCCGTCCTAGCAGTCGTCGTCGTCCTGCTGCTCCCCTCGTCCCAAAGATTTACGGGCTTCAGGATTTCGGACACTTTTCATGTTTCCGGTAGTGTACATGTACTGAGAGTCGTACATGGACGAAGAGAGACAAAGCGAGAGACGGAGAGATGGAGTGCTGGTGTGTATAAGGTTAGGGTTTAGGGTTTAGGGTTTAGGGTAAGTGTATGTGTCTTAGTCTTGCCTTACATGTCTTCGCCGGGCGCTACATCCTGCACAACCTCTGCCCAAAGCCGGAATGGAGGATGGGAGCTACAAGGCCCTCACCGCGCCACTTACCGTCTGAAGGCCGCAGTATAACCTCGGAACTCAGACTTGAGGTCTTGCGTTCAGTGCTGCCTATTCGGGGAGAAAGGGCAGCGGAATCATTGTTATGTAACAACTCATTCTGAGGATGCTTCTTCAGAACACATATTTGTCAGAGCTTCCCAGCAAAGCAACCATACCCAAACTCGCAAGACAAACGATACACTAAAAGCAAGCACCCAAGAGCCCAATAGCTCCTAGTTGGCCTATGTAGAAACCGTTCAAGGATCCCTTTCTGGGTGCATAGATGTTGGGCTTAACGGGCTTTAGACTCGAGCGTTGGGTTTCGAATTCATTTCCGTCTGCCTCCAAAGCCCTGGACCCACATGGTATCCCGAAACACCGAAGATCTGAGCTCAAAGACTAGAACGACTGGCTTAGGGTTGAGGGGTTTAGGGGTGTAGGGTTGAAGGTGATCGAGATCTAAAGGGGACTTTTATACAGGTTCCTGGTGAGGATTTCTCAGGATCACGGGTTTGGGGGGGTAAAGGGGTTTCGGTAATAGGAATGTTCCTCAAAGGCTCTTACTCGAAGGTCTTTGCGGAGTTCCTTCAAGGTCTTTGTAGGGCTGTATGGGCTTGCATACGGGTGTGGTATATACTGCGCTTCAGCTGTCTCTTAATATGATTGGTAGCTTCAACTTCCGAAGCTGCGCCGCTGAGGTCCCAGCCCTGTTGCTGTTGCATCTGTTGCTGCTGCATCATCTGCTGCTGCTGCATCTGCTGCATCTGCTGCGGGGTCATCTGCTGCTGGCCTGCTCGCCAGAGGGCCCCGCTTTACCCACCAGTGTATTTGCTTCTTGGGTTGTTAGCATCCTTCAGGTGCCCCACGGCTAAGACCGCAAGAACAGAAGTTAGGATTAAGGTTATATATATATATATACATAGAGGACATACATACGTATCTATATATATATATATACACACGTAATCAGTTCAACAGATGTTCTGACCTAGCTTGGAAGCGGAGATTATCCTAAGGGTCCATGTACCCAAATAGTATACACTTTGGCCTTAATGTAGTCCCTATATAGGTACTCTAGGGCCAATGTTCTACTGTTTGGGTACATGGACCCTAAGGGTTACTTCTCGCTCTGCACTCATCTCGGGCTTGGTCCTTGACCGGATTTCGGAGTTGAGATCTGGTTTAGCGCTTGGGGTTGAGGGTTTAGGGTAAGCGGGTTTCAGCACCCGTCGCCCTCGGAAGCCAGGAGATGATTGAGATGGGGGAGTCTGCGCAAGCTTTCCGGGTTTCGGGTGTAATCTGGTAAACCCTAAACCCTAAACCCTGACTTGAGATCAAATACCTTAGCCCTCAGCCCGAAATAACAATGCTACACCCTAAACCCTACCAGCGTGGCCCAAGTACCCTTTGACTTTGACGGAGACCCCCTAGTCCTGAACAAAGGGCCCAGGACCCCACAACCCTAATATGGGGGGGGCAGGGCTTGAATGATTAGAAACAGGTGTGGGGGCGGGATGCTATGCCATAACGCTATAGACTTTAAGGGGATAGAAGTCGTTACTAGGGTATTCCGAACCCCCTGAACCCTAAACCCTCAACCCTACAAAAACCCTAAACCCTACAAAAACCCTAAACCCTACCAAAAACCTTAAAGCCTCACAGAAAGCCCTGAAAATCATGAATGGCTCTCCATCCCCTGGTCGACGGAGTTGCAGAGATGCAGCTGGCGCTAAAGCACAAACCGGCAGCTGGCTAAACATCACAACCGATATGGGAGTTTCCGAAAATAGGGGTACCTTATTGGGGGTCCTTATGATATGGATCCTACTATTTAGGGTACTATATTAGGGTCCCCTATTTTCGGAAACCCCCATATGTCTATGATAACTAATTACGATCATTTACAAAACATCACAACTGATGTGAGTATGATAGTTGATTACGATTCTTATTGGTAGAGTTTTTGCTTACCTATTATTATCACGGTTTAAATTCTTTTATTAATATCAGTTGTACTATTGTCCCTGGGTCTAGGATTTGAGGGCTGTGAAACATGATGTGAGATCGGCTTCCACAAGGCTCTTAACGATTGCATACGGGTCCAGGAGTTTATGTGGAGGGTTTGCGGCTTTCGAGGTTTGGGGGCGAGGGGTTTCAGTTATCTAGACCACTGATTAACAAAACTCAAGGGCCTTCTTTGTATTGGGGATCCTACTACAACGCCTTTTTCAGGCAATCATTGAGGGGATGTTATGAATCAGGGGTCTACATTAAAGTGCCAGCCCCAAATCCAAAAAAAAACACAACTTCTGCACGACCCTCTTCCAAAAACCTCAACACTCCTAAAAACTTACGCCCCAGGCCCTAAATCCAATGTCGAAATTCTGAACGTGCTCAGCCGCAGACCCTGAACCGCTTAGGTACCGGGATTCGGGTTAGGCCGCTGGGCGCAGGGTTACCTAAACGCCCCCAAAATTAGGTAAAAACATGACCCAACCTCTATAAAAAGGGCATGACTCGACTACTTTTTGGAGACCAGGGCTCAGGGTCCAGAGTCTAATATAGGAAACTGATTAAGAAACGTCGGGTCTTCATTAGGGTTCTTTAGATGAAGACATAGGGCCAGGGTTTCTTAAAAAGGTTCCTACATTAGATTTCCCGGCCTCTTTGCTGCTGGTAGGCACGCTGCTGTTGCTGCTGCATCTGCTGCTGCTGTGCCGGGTAGCCCCTGCCTGGAAGCTCGCGAACATCACCGTGCGGCTTAGGGTTTAGGTGTACGCGGAAGCCTGAACGCCAAGCCTGAACCCTAAACCCTGAACCAGAAACCCTGAATAGCCTGCTAAAACAGCCTCAGCCCCGAAGAGCAATCCCTGGTTTTCCTCTCGGATTGGGTTGGCAGAATAAAACGACACACACATATATATATATATATATATATACATATACATATATATATATATATACGTTGATAACTATACATCTATATAAACACACTATGTATACATACACATACACATGCACATGCACGTGCACAGTGCCATACACATACATGTACATACATGCATATAAGCAGAAGCATGCATGCAATCAACATATCAAACGACTCTACAGAGTAAACTGAACAACACCATGCAACACCCATGCAATCCATGAAACAAAAAACCGTAAGGCCCTGAAAGGCCTCGTTTGGAACCAATAAACGACTGAATGAGCCATGCCTTGTCGAGGCGCGAAGACTTCGAATCAGGCAGTGCGGCTTAGGGAAAAACTATGTGGCTTTGTTCGTTTTGCTGTTGCGAGGTAGGGCGTCGGGTAAGTAACTAACCTGACCAGACAGGACTTTCGGACTTTGTAAGACAAAAACCTTATGAGTGCTCGGAATGATACACATACTGCTGCCAGAGACCGTGAACACGAATTGTTTCCACTGAAATGGGTAGATAGACGGATAGACAGACAGACAGACAGACAAGCAGGCAGGCGGACAGACAGACAGACTGACTGACTGACTGACTGACTGAGAGATAGAGAGATTGATAGATAGATAGACAGATAGACAGATAGACACTTAGACAGATAGACAGATAGATAGATGGATCGATCGATTAGATAGGCGGGTACAGATAGGTAGAAAGGTGATAAGTAGACAGGTAGATAGAGCCAGAGAGAGAGAGAGAGAGAGAGAGAGAGAGAAGATAGCAGAATTGGATAGGAGAGAGAGTTAGCTAGAATGCAGCTGGATGGAGAGTGGCCCATCCGAGCGGTTGAATTGCAGAAAAATCCTCACATGGCCTTGCTGCTGGAATTGGCCAGTAGCACCGCCTCTGTAACCCGCCGCGGGGGCGCCCTGACAGGAGCAGGCTTTAGAGGACACCCTACGGGACCCTACGGCGGTAACGCCTCAACCTGAAACTGAACCCTAAGCCCTGAACCCTCATTCCTACACCCGAGACCCTACCGACGAAATCCTAAACCCTACGTAATTCCTACATCCTAGACGCCCCATTCCTGAACCCGTATTCCTACGCCCTTCGCCCGATGTCCTGAGCCCCTAAACCCTAGCTGTTTCACTCTAAACCCGAAATCCAGGGGCCCCAAAAGTCCCTAAGCCCAGATTAGACTCCGGATCGGCCCTAATATGGGGGCCTAGAATAAGGAACCCCAAAAACCCTATTCTAAGTATTAAAGCCCCTAAATTAGGGAGATGACTTCAACGTACAACCCTCAATCGGCCCTGATGAGAAATTCGTGTTGAGAGGTTCGAGTTTCAGCAAGTAGAATGCGGTGCTTTTAGGACATGATAAACTCCCTAATCCCTAAACCCTAAAACCCTAAACCCTGAACTTCTATAGATTTAGACTAGGGGCTTCGGTGTAGTTTTTAGGGCCTTTTAGGGCATGAGTATACCAGGGACTGTAGGGTTATAGCATTACTGTTTGCTCAGGCCTCTGTAAGCAACAAAGAGGCCCGAAAACAGAGACAACGAGTACTACTAGGGAACCTAGGTGACCCCTCTCCCAACAAGGCCATAGAACCCCAAAGGATCCCTTGGCAAAGCACTACGAGTCTTTTGTGCAAGCACGGGGAAGTCGTGAACCCAAGAAAAACCCTAAACCCTCAACCCCAAACCCTATAAGCCCCAAAGTCGTAGCCCGCTGCCGTTGAGGAGTAGCTGGGTCAGGCGATGCGTTCATGCAGCTCCAGTCCGGGTAAGCCGACACACCGGGCTCCCTGCCTCCGGTGAAGGTGACAACACCATTGCCGACCAGTCTGGCATCAAAGCAGTGGGTGTCGCAGTCGGCCCGATCGTTGAGTCATTTGACTCCTGAGAATCGAGCGAGAGGACCACCGTCTCTGTGGTACCCGCATCATTCACCCCTGAGCTTGATGTCCTCGCCCTTTCGTGGTGTGTCCTCCACGACTACAATGCTGAGATCATCGCTAAGCACCGGCACCATTGCAACTCCCATGACCCAACGGGACTAGCTTGCTGCCGCCTGCACTTCTTGAGACAGGGTTTTACAGCACAGGTTTGCGGATGGAACGACTCCAAATAGGCCATGCTCTTTGCTCGGATACTCTTCCGTTAGCCACCCGCAACCCTAAACCCTATGAGCACTCAATGCTATATAATGAATCCCTAAACTCCCAGCCTTAAATTCTAAGCCCCGGAAATCCCCAAACCCTGAACCCTAAACCCAAAACCCCTAAACCCTAAACCCCTAAACCCTAAATCCTCAACCCTGAACCCTTCATGCCCCTCAGCCCTCAACTCCATGAAAGCCCTACCTTAATAACTACCAGAACCTACTTGTTTGTAGGTTTCTTAATATAACACCTAATATCGATTTTCGAGGGCCCCCAAGCCCTAAGCCCCAGACCCTAAGCCCAAAGCCCTGAACCCTAAACCCTGAGCCCAAAGCCCTAAAACCCTAAATCCTAAACCCTAAGCCCAAAGCCCTGAACCCTGAACCCCAAACCCAAAGCCGAGTAAGCCCCTAAAAATATCCTGAACATTTTGAGGCCTTGAAGCCGCCCTGAGCAGGGGCTCCGCCCTTGCCGAACTGGGCACCCTTGCCGTAGGCTCCCTGGCGGCAACAGAAGTGGCAGGAACAGCTCTTCGGGCTTAGGATGGCTTAAGATGGGTTAGGGTTTAGGATTTATAGGGTTCAGGGTTTAGGGTTGAAGGGTTAGGGTGTAGGAATTAATTTGGGTTGAGGGTTCAGGGTTGAGGCTTTCTTGGTTGAGGGTTAGGGGGCTTAGGTTTGGTTTTTTGTCTTTAAACCCAGTATCCCCTAGACTCTCTCGGGTCGATTCGTCCAGAGAGGGGTTTCTCCGTGAAGAAACCTTAAGTTCCTATACTAAACCCTTAAGCCCTAAATCCTAAACTTAGCCCCTGAACCCTAAACCCTATACTAAACCCCGAAACGCTAAGCCCTAAACCCTTCAGGTCAGGGCTTCGGGGCTGTATGTGCCTGTGACATGCGCAATCCCGACAAACACATGGATTGGGGTCTCTTTTGAGTTCCGCTCTCAAACTATAGGGTGCCGTATTAAGACTAGAATCTGGAACTATGTAGGGTTCCCCAGAAGAACCATGACCTTGACGGTACCCGCACACTAGGATGAGACCCCCTGGCGGCCTAAACCCTAAACCCCTCAACCCAAAGCCCTGCAGTAAGGCTCCTTCACGCCACACCGACAGAGCGACACGATGCAAAAACCCAACTCTGTCCATGGAGCATTGGATGCTACATCTTCAAGCCTTGAAGCCGCTCCATATCCCAGCTTTCTTGAGCTGGACTTCAACTTCGTGGCATCCATGTGACAGTGCCATGGCAGCAAGGCCCGGACGTTAGCGAACGCCGAGCACGGGCCAGTCTGACAGGAAATCAGAATTTGGCGGGTTTCCGATTATTAGGGGTACCTTATTTTGGGGTCCTTATAATAGGGACCCTACTATTTAGGGTACTATATTGGGGTCCCCTGTTTTCTTCACAAAGCAAATACCTCCGCGCACCTGCCACTTGGCAGGTGATGCTGTTTGAAGAGCATCACTTCGCGGTTGGCCTCCTCGGCGATAGTTTGATCTGTGTTTTGAAATCCATGTGGAAAGGAATAAGCCCAGGACGAAAGCTTTCGGCACCATTCCGCCCACAAAAAAATTTTGCTTGGCTTCCAAGACAAGTCCAATAAGAAGGCCACTGCCCGCGCTTCCTTCTGTGCCCCTGAGGCCTTTGTTCCTTCTCCGACTTCCGCACTTTGCAAACACTACTGACAAAACAATCAGAAGAAGAGCAATCGCAATGATTATAAGAACGCTGAGAGTGATAAGACCACTGCTATCTAATGCATTACATGATGATAACCTTCGTGATAATACACAGTAACCCAGCAGCAGCATCAACATGCAAATCCAGCTGCTCAGGATCTAGTGCAGGTTTTGGGGGGGCACAGGGTTTGCCAGAGAGCCTAACAAGCGGCAGCGGATTCGACATCAAAGCCTAAATCCCTAAACCCACCAACATTCAGAATCCCTAAACCCTAAACCCTAAAAAAACCCAAGGGCCAACAACTCTAAGCTCAACCCCGAACTCCGGAAGGCTTGAAATCTAAACCGCAAGCTCCAAAAACACAAAGTCCCCAAAAGGAGGCCCTAAATGCGGAAATTCCTATAGAAAGCCGACCCGATCCCAGAATCCCTAAACTCCCAACACAAGGTCGTCAACCTATACCCCACAACTGCTCTCCACTAAAAGCCTAGAAACTATCTACAATTACAAGCCCTAAAGGGCTTTGGGGTGTTTTATAACTATACCTATACTGTTTGGGTTTAGGGTTTAGTGTGCCTTGGGCGCTACTCGCATCCTTCGCTAGGGACCTTGATGGACGAATGCTCGAAAGTCAAGCCCTGTGAGGCCTTTCGGTAAACTGAGTTCTCGGACAAACTCTGAGGTTTCCTCAAGAACATGCTCTTGATTCAGCCTGTACAACAACCTTATAAACCGCTTAGGCATTAGAAAGCCCTAAACCCTGCACAAACCCGAAAAACGTTCCGTTCTCAGGTAACTCACTACGATGTCCTCGAATGCTTCCTTCATCTTCTGCACAAGTACTGTTTCGGGTGTTCGGGTAAACCTGAAACGCCATAACGCCCTAGACGAACCCTATAAAAAAAAACCTTCAAACGCCCCTGACTCAAACCCCATTAACAACCTACAAAACGCTGGTAGTACCCTGAAGCACGATTTATTTTGCCAGAAAGCCCTGAAGCCATGCCTTCTGCTGCTGCTCCATAGCCCGGATCTCTTCGGGGCGGGCGAACCGTAGCCTGGCGCTCCTTGGCATCAGGCCGTTGAGACCCGGTTCGGTTTAGGGTTTTGGGTTGAGGACAATATTACAATAGTACTAATCATACAACTTGTCGCTATCGTTTTCAATACCTTCGCAACTTCACCCCTCAATGTCAAACTCATGCAGATTGCCCGCTTGCTGCTACTAGTATGTCTGTTCGTATTGGACTCCCATAACTATACTTAGTTTTCGTGCTTTATGCTGCTCAGGCAGAGTGAAAGTAGCATTCTGTCTTTTCTGTAAGGTACTGATTTGGGGGGGGGTCTAGACCCTAAACTGAACCCTAAACCCCAAACTAAACCATAGACTTACTAAAGCCTAAACTAAACCCTAAACTTCAAAGCCCTGAACTAAACCCTAAACCCTAGACTAAACCCTAGACCCTACACCAAACCCTGAAAGCTGAACCCCAAACTAAACCCCAAGCCATACTCTAAACCCTAAACGAAACCCCAAACTAAAACTATTATCCCGTTGTAGAACTCAAACCCCCGAGCTTTCGCGCTGCGTCAGCCCACGAAGATCCTGCCGAGTCGCTCATCCCCTTGCTCCAGCTTCTTGAAGCGCTCTCGCCGCGCTTCCTGCGCGCAGAGACCCGCGAGTCGAATAGCTCAAGAGATCAGAGTCCAGTACCCATTAGTTGAGGACTATATACCTTCAACTAACCTACCTGGTGTCTTGTCCCAGCATGCCTAACTCAGCAAAGTCAGCTCAAGCATAATTCGTAGCTCTAAATTCAAACGGTAACCAACCCTCGAAGCCCGACTCAAGATGAAAATGCATACTTCCCTTCGGCTAAAGGTTTACCCAACACCCCCTCAACACCAAACGGCTTCGCTAAGCACTATACGAGTGATCCGTAAAGCCTTTCGAGAAGGACTAGCGTTTGATCCAGGGTCTACATTCCCAAAGGGTCCGAGGTACTGTTATGGGGGAAACTTTCCCAACATAGAAACCCTATATTCCACGTTATACATATATATATATATATATACAAATATTCCACTCTATATATATATATATATATATCTATACATATTGCATTAATTATATTATCGGTACTTAGTATCCGTTGGGAATTCATGACTTCAGGTCGGAGCTCAAGGTTTAGCACGCCAAATCCAATAAGCCAATAAGCCCCACCCCCGAGACTCCCCTTTCCCCATCCCGCACAGGAGTCGTAATTTTAGGGTTTAGGGTTTAGGGTTTAGGGTTTAGGGTTTAGGGGTTTAGGGTTTAGGGTTTACTGTTTAGGGTTTAGGGCTAATCATCTGGCTGGTGCTTAGTAGAGAATGGGGGAATGGGCTATCAGGACTACCAGAAGGGACCTCAAGGGACTATCATAGGGATCCATGCCATTCCCTACTAACCAGACAGTCACCAGAAAAGGATATGCCGTCGCAGCCCTAAGGAATAGTGTTGCTATTTACTAATTGTTTGGGTTCGTGTTTTGTATCGAAGTCTTGCTGGTTGGCCACAGCTACTTGAAGCAGCCCTAAGGAATAGTATTGCTAACTATTCAGGCTTCTATATACTAAACCCAACATCGAAGCCCGTATAGAAACCCATAGAATGTTATAGTAACCCTTGTAGGAGCCCTTATAGAAAGCCTGATAGAAACCCTGAGCATCTGTACCTCCGTCAGCTTGACGAAAATGTCGAAGCTGTCGACTTCTTCCGCGAGCTGAGCCTCCGACCGGACACCAGCAGTTAAGGGTTTATAGGGTTTAGGGTCGGGGGTACTATAAGGACTACAACAAGGATAACGGCTGCTATCACGGGTGTAGTATAGTTAAAACAAGTTCTGTTCTGCATCAAGGGGTTGTACGGTTTTACATCGTGCAGAAATTGGAAGTCTTAGGGGGGATTGCAAGGTTCAGGCTCCAGTCTAGAACAGAGTGTAGGGTTGTTAACACTGTTGGGTTTGAAGGATCAGGACTGGCGCCGTCCCAAACTCGAAATCCTCAAGAATCGATGCTGTCAGCATTGTCCGCGCATTGAAAAACAGCTGGTTTAAGGCCGTATCATTGAGCGGCCATGACCTAAACATTTTCGTGAGTTGGTTGTGACGAACAGAAACACCACTTCCTAGGTAAAACGCCCTATGTCTCGGAACCCTAAACCCTAAACCTTCAAGCCCTACATCCCCATGTCTCGAGGCCCCGAACACTGAGACCTGCAATCTAAGACTTTGAGCATCTCTACAGAGGACCGGATCACAGCAGCAATGTCGCCCTGAAGGCGATCCTCTGCAAGTTCAGATATATTCTGTCTCCCCTGAGGTAACATGGAACACCAAAAGGACTCGTGCCAGTAGTAAATAACCTGCTCCGTTTGGAATTCTACAGTACTATCGGAGGATAGATGCCGAAGCCCCCATAAGATGACCTTACTATATCGCGGAAAACCTCCGAACATGCCTTAAACCTCACGAGATACCCAAAGTACCTACACCTACGTACACCTGAAACCCAAGTCTGTAATGCGAAAACCCGAAACCCTAAAAACCTAAACCGTAGCAGTCGACCCGGTCCCGTGCAGGCCTGAATTACCATGTTTTCCGGGTTGATCACGACCGTGTCCTTCGCAGAGCGGGTCTTTGGATTCTGAGGTTTGTGGGGGCTCATGGTTTGCAGTCAGGGTTAGCAGTGGGCCCAAAAAGAAACTAGGGTGTGAGGTCTCCGAGATCAACAACACCACATAGCTACCTAGGTGTATGTACACACATACTTATATGTGTATAAATATTTACATAAACAAATTGGAACAGTATATCTGCATAGATCTTCTGCTCAGAAAAGTATATGGGAACTCTCTTTGGCGTAAGTATACTCCTAGGGTACGACAAAGCAGGGCGCAATCCCGCTATCATCTATCTCCCACTACCTCTAGCCAAGGAAACATACTGCCCTGAGGTCCGAACCTGGATCTTTGAACGCAACAGATCCCAGCTCCCCGCAACCTCCCAAGGTTGAAAGTGCCAGGATCCTGTCCCTCGAAATCCCCAATTCAGCACACCAGTCGCTTTAAGAAAATTCTACTTGGTTCGTGTAAGGGTCCTACAGGGCTTCGGGCTTGGGGTGTACATAAGGGATTCATCATGGGATTGCAACGTTAGGAGCCATGAAAATGTAATGCTGACAGAAAGCCTATTGAAGTTTCGGAAAATTCCTCTTCATAACGGACTTCGGGGTTTCTGGGTCAGAGTCCTTAATGAAGGAGAGCAGGGCGGCATTGTTCTCCACCTGCCCGGCCAGATATCACGGGAGTTGGGAGGCCCAGGTGCTTGGAGGTTCATGGGTAGTTATCAGTGGGGTAACTATAGTTATAACCTATGTTAGCGGACCTATAACTCCACTTATAACTACCCATTAAACCTCAAAGTAGCACACTTGCAATGTTGCTTCTGATGCTGCTGTTGGAGAACATGTTGTAGCTTAAGCAGCCTAGATGCGGCATGCTGGGGAAAGGCTCGGATTCACGGGTAGTACAGAGGCCCAAAGGACAAAATCAGGGTTGGGTGTGCCTCCTGCTGTACTGCTGCGAGCAATATCCGCACAAGCAAGATTCACAGAGATACCAGACCAAAAGCAGCGGATGAAGACTTGCTACAGGCACTGGAAGATTGCTATAGAGCACCTCACAAACTCCGAAACCTGAAACTCAGCAAAACATTGTAAACTTGTTCAGGGACCAACATGATTTGAGTTATGTTCCTTGGATTGTGCCGGGTCATGGAGTTTCTGGGAACCACGGCTGTTAAACTATCTTGGACCTTCAAACCTCAATCCAAAACCACTGCGGTGCGTGCTCGATTTGTCAGTCGTCGGTACCCAATGTAGGTAAGCCCAAAAAAGATCTAGATTCATGTCAGGCTTCAAGGTTTCGATGTGCGCTGGAGGTTGAGGGCACTAGGAGCTTGTGCATGCTAAAGCAAACAATACAGAGATAATGTAGGGGCCTTGTTAATTAGAATTGGGTTTTGGGGCCCATTATACTATAAATATAATTGGGAACCCCCAAAATGGTATTGGTGTTTATTTAGGCCCCTGTATTACACGCCCTTGGACGCCTCCAAGATCACGACTTGGGATAAGGGTTCGGGTTCAGGGCTTATGGCTTAGGGTTTAGGGCAAAGGGTGGAGAGCTCAGAGTTTAGGGCTATGCCCGCATGGCATTGCTGATCTTTCTGTCTTCCTGCTTATTGGACTATCCATGTTTTTTGTGGAGTACTGCTCCCAGGGGATAACAGTAGCAATCGGCATTGTCATCGTCAAAATCGTTGTAGACTCAGTGCTTCATGGCCCTGCAACCACATGCATAATAATATCATCCGTAGAACAGGGATCGACGACATGAACCTCAAATTATTAGAAGGACTCCTTCAACAACAAAAGGTCTGTACTGCTACTCTGCTGAAAGTATGATAATAAACTATGTCATACTTGAGTATATTATATTGTACATATATATATATATATACATACAAGTTATACATATATTTGTTTGTCTTGTTTACATTCCGTATTATGTGCAATTAGACTAGAACCGCCGCAGCCGCTGCTCTGGTGTGCTCTTGAGCACCAGGCCCCATAGTGCTTCACGTTGAAAGTCTTCTTATAGTACTTGTTGTAGTAGAACGGCCTGGGCGAACGAGAGGTTCGAGGTTCATACATGGAAAGGCTCGGGGTTTCGATTGGGGGTTTCGGGTTTTGAAGTTCAGGGCTTCTCACTGCAGGGCTTGAGGGAATTTAGGACTTTGGGGTTTGAAAGGGCTTTGGTGTTCAGGGTTCGGGGCTCTGGGGCCGCTGTAGGGTTCGGAAGTTGGGGTTGTGCGGTTTAGACTAGAGTTAGGGAATTTGGCTTGCCGTGGCTTGCCAGTTTCGGAGTCCATGTACTTGCTCGAAGAAGTCCCCCAAAATCACTATACTACAATAGTTGCAGTGTAAAGACGTCCGCACACAAGCGAAGATGTTGAAGGAGGACCTAAGATTGGGTTGCCTTGCAATACTGGTGCATACGTACTCTAGGCAAATCACACAATCCTCTGAGTCCAAACCCTTGCAGCACGCTATCATCTATCTTATGAAGCCTTCCAATCCAGATCGTATAAAACCCTAAACCGACACTCAGCCCTGAGCCCGGCCTGAGCCCTAAAGCAATAGCCCTAAAGCCGGACACCCTCAAGCAAAAGAAGCTCAAGCCTATGTCCAAAGCACCCTGCACCCCTGTAAGATCCCAGATCACCCTTATCAGAAACCCATGCTTCGTGTCTCCTGAAGCACTTCAACCCAAAGCTTCACTGATTCAAAGCCTAAGCCCTAAAGAAGAACCCCCCCCCCCCCCCNNCTAAACCCGATACCCTGAACCCTGAAGCCAACACCGGGAGCCACACCGTAAACACCGAGGTGCGACTCATGACCATAAACACCCCATACCTCGAAGCCCTAAAGCCCATACACCAAGAGCCGCACAGGTGCGACTCATGGATGCCTATTCTTTCGTCGTCCTGGGCATCACGTCGGAAGCTGTGGACCTCGGTGTCTCCCCGGTTCTTAGTACCAGGGTTCCTTTTTGGGATATACAAGGGTTCGATAAGGGCTCCGTTAAGGGTTCTATAATAAGGACTCTACTCGGAGATTCTTGGGTTCCTTGAAGGGATCTATAGGTTTTATAAAGGGCTCTGTTTCACGGGCAGTTTTTGGGGTGCCTTTGAAGGGATCTGTAAGGGCTCCTTCAAGGGGTTCCGTTAAGGCCGTTAACGGCTCTATGAGGGCTCTACTTGAAGGTTCATGGGTAGCTATAAGTGAAGTTAAAAGTTCCCCCAGTATGGATTTTAGCCATTATAGATAAATTAGACTAGCTCTCCTACTTTTTAGCCCTGCTTATAGTGACTGGTCACTGTAGGGTCTTTTAGGATCTCCTCTTGCGGGCCGAATTGAGGCAGAGGACCTCCGGCTTAGGGCTTGGGGAGTTTAGGGTTCGGAGATTCGGGTTTAAGATCGGATAATCTAATATAGGGGCCCGACATGATTAGAATAAGGTTTTGGGGTACATCATACTATACTGATAATAAGGATCCCCCCCAAAAAAAAAGACAAGAAGAGTATAGGCAACTTACAAGGGTTATAAGGCCCCCACACCATTGTCTGTCTAGGTTTAGGGTCAATCTACTGCCAGGGCTTAGGATTTCGGAGTTGGGGCTTGTGGGGGGGGGGGGGGGGGGCTGAGGTTTACAGAAAGTCACATGATCAGGGAATCAAGTCATGGATAAAGGATATGTTTTTTTTTAACAAATTACACATACTCACGAGCAATTAGCCCTGACTCCTGATCTGCGATGACCAGATGCAAAGGCTAAGAAGGGAACCTCATAAATGAGAAGTCGCTCAAAGCACCCCCGAAAAACCAAACAGCGGAGATATCACCCTGGGTTCCGTGCGAGCAGGTGAAGCTCCAATCGCAAACCTGGGCGGAAAAGTCTCGGCCGCACTGCAGACCCCTGAAAATATACAGGCTCTTCAACGTCGGCTCTAAGAGGGTCTTATGGTTACGGTTGAATACAGACCGCCAGTCGGCGTACGCATTTGAGGGCCTGAAAAGGACATTATCGACGGGTTGACATGACGGCTTGATATAATGGTTTGAACGAAGGGTTTCCTCATGATTTCGTGAACCGGCACCAACCAAAACATCCGTAAGCCTGCATCAGCTCAAGTAGCTCGGAATCCCGGAATCCGTACACCCCTTAGGGTTGAAGGGGTTTAGGGGTCCTTTAATTATTAAGAGGTTCAGGGTTTAGGGTGCAGGGTTTTGGGTTCCTCGTTTCAGACCCCCTCGAAACCATAGAATCCGACCGGGTATTAAGCCCTCAACACCTAAATCCCACGTATTCATTACCCTGCGATTTGGGCACATGGGCCCTCAGGTAAATAGACATCAAGATGACCCAATAAGCCAAGAACTTCTAGAGTTCTCCTCAGCGCATATGCAAAACTCAAGATAGTATGTGAGGTATATAGTCTAACCGTGGCTTCAAGACTTAACCCCCAAGCCTAAACCTCCCTGAAGGAGCGCTCCAGAATCCAATGTCTCTTCATTCATGGAGCGCTAAACACATTTCATGAAAGCCCGTTCGATCGTCACTATAGGGGCCCGAGAAACTAGAGTAGGGATTGGGCATGTTATAAAGCAACTTGTAGAAAGCTTGACGGGGATGCTGGTGCTTGTTATTCTGCTAGTGCTTATAAGGATAGAGTCTACGGACTACTATACGGGATTATATAGGGAACCGTTATAGGGATCCTGTCACCAACTCCACCAGGAAGTTATTGAGACCTCTACAATCTAGGGGCCCTAATCACGAAGAAAACCCTATTCTAATTATTAAGGCCCCTATGTCATGACGGCTCCGACCGTCTTCAGGCTGTGCCGTGCTCCGATGATCGAAGCCTACGCTCCTCTTGAATGGGTCTCGAACCTGCAAATCACTCGCGAGTTTGGGCTGTAGGACACAGTACGTCACGTTACACATTACACTGCATTGCACTACATATCACATACCCTTTGCAATCTAAACAAAAAACGAATTCAAACTGTAGTTTCAGACTAACCTGAAAACCGACTAATGTCATTAGACTCGTAGGCAGACCCCCTTTTATGCAAGATAGCTGAACAGGGGTTCATGGCCGTTAAACTAACCGGACAGACAAGCTTATCTCTACATGGTCGAGAGTTCAGCACTTATAGGAAAACGAAACTGCTTAGCAAAGCTTAGGGCCCAAACCTTCCAAGATCCCTTCATTCTGACATATACCTTGAACTATAGTAGGGATCCTACTAAGATCTAAGGTATGTATTCCATAATTAAAAGGATCTTGGAAGGCTTGAGGGTCCCGAGCCTTGGGTCAGGGTCTGCGTTTCGCACATTCGGGCTTTTTGGCGTGGCAGGGTTTGGGTTCAGCTCCGCCTTACAATACCCTAGGGGTCCACGTACCCCTCCCTATACCCCTTTTTAGTATCTTTGAATGCATGGACCCTTTGGAACACCAAGGCTCTGTTGAAGAAAGCCGAGCGACTCAGCAGCGCCCAGTCCTCTTCAGAGGTTTATAGTATTAGGTCGTTTGGGGTGTTTAGGGTGTTTGGGGTTTAGGGTTTATCGTTTAGGGTTTAGTATCAGGTCGTTTAGGGTTTAGGGTTTAGGGTTTAGTATCAGGTCGTTTAGGGTTTAGGGTCTAGGGTTTAGTATCAGGTCGTTTAGGGTTTAGGGTTTAGGGTTTAGTATCAGGTCGTTTAGGGTGTTCAGGGTGTTTGGGTGTATACATTATTCCAAGGCCCTGCATGGCATGATCCTAAGGCCCTTCAGTTTGAAAGTGTGCTTCCTTCGAGTACGGGTTTGGTAGAGTGCTTTAATTAAAACTCTTGACCGTCAAAGCCCGATGTAAACCTCGAGTCCACTCTTGGCTACATAAAGTTCAGAGTTTAGGGCTTAGGGCGTAAACGCAATCGGGGCCTAAGCCGAAACCATGAGCAATAATCGAGTTTCCTCGAAGGTGAACTTGGCAAACAGCGGCTCCCCATTGACGACATTGCCTCGGGGTTCTCTTGGGGTTCAGGGTTCTTTTAGCGTTTGCGGTTTCTGGGCTTCTGGGCGAAAGGATTTAGTCTAGACGGATGCGGTGTGCTTTTCTCAGACGGATGGCTTTATGGCTTCGGACCCTTGCCAAAAAAACCTTCATCTGCGAGTAAAAACCTTTCAGACGTCTTGCAATGATGGCCTAGGAAAGGGGAGTCTTGGGGCTTAGGATTCGCGCATAGCAATGACGCGCACATCTTAGCACATACAGTTCGATGACTTCAGACATATTCCTGCACTTTCGGCGTATTGTGTCGGTCCTTGTCATCACTCGTGTTCCCCAAACCCACCAGGCTGACATGGAGCTGAATGAAACCAACTTTGCCTCGCTTCGTGGTATAAGGCTTCTTTTCCAAACCCTAGACTCTGCAAACGCCAAACTGAGGCCCTCATTTCGTAAATCCTGAAAGCGCTACCCACAGCAAGATCATGCAACTGCCCAAACGGCAAGATCTACTGTGCCCACAGTCTAGGTCTAAATCAGGAGTATACATTATGCAGCGGCTGTGAGCGGGTGTTGTTGCTGGTTGTTCAGACGCCGATGGTTTCAACACTGCTAGTTGGGCGTCAGGTTGAATTTGTAGAAACGCAAATCTGTGTCAAGTCGCAGATGTCCGGTACTCCCATCACGTCGGTCACGGACGACCTCAAGACTTCGAGCTTTGGCACTGGGGGTTAAAGGTGTAGTGTAATGGTTTGGGCCTATGACCTATGATTTATCCCAGATAGTGACCTACATACCTACTATCCAAACCCGAATACCCAATTATTGGGTTCTTTGGACCCTTAGCATAAGGGTTGGGTTGTACAAGATAGAGTTCTTGTTTCAGTTCGTCTTTAAACCGAATATCTGAGACGTTGACAAATAGACTGGAGGTTAGAGTTCGTAATTAACAAACCCTAAGCCCTAAACACCAGACAAGCTCCGAGTCCTTAACCCCTGAATCCTATATGGACCCGTAAAGCCATCTTGGAGAACCCTAAAGAAACTTCGGACATGCTCTGAAAACCTTTAGGTAAAAGACAGCCCTCAAGCTGAAACGTGAAGCCTACAAACTAAACTCTAAGCCGAATGCGTGAAACCCTAAACTCGAAATCCGAAGCCCTGAGCCCATCGGAGCTGCAGCAAAGGCAACGGCCCGTCCACCTCTGGAGGATCATCATCCCGGTAAGCCTCCCAAAACGGGGCCTACCGGGACCCCCAAGTACCCTCTAATGCCCCGATGGTCCCTAACCAGGACCCCCCGAAGTATCCTCTAATACAGCTCTGATGGTCCCTAACAGAGGGTGCTTAGGCTATAATGGAAGGTAGTTGGTGGGTCTGGTTAAGGGTTGAGGGCTTAGGGCACTAGGCGCTGACTTGGCCCAACAAACAGGGTTAAGCTTTAAGTTGTTTTGGGAAGTTAACATTACACAGAAAGCTTAAAGGTTACCTACACAGCCACTAAGAAAGGCAATTCAGCAGAAGCCCAGTTACCTGTAGGGCTTTAGAGTCTTGCCGTTTCGCGGCGATTTGGGGCTTGGCGCCGAAATCTCCGGATACCTACATGCCACATACGCAAACCCTCGGACACATGCCAAGCCCTACACCACAAAGATCGGGCCCAGGCAGGAGACTTAACCGTGTAGAGCAGGCCCGAAAATGAAAGGGGCTTTGTACGTGTTTCTATAAGGGTCACTGGAATGGTTTCGTATCATGAGGGGTCCTGTAAAGAGCTTGAAAGTCCGGTGCCTGCTTGGCCGCAAACTCTCCTTGCTTGCCTGGCGCAGCTCGAGGCAAGACATCGGATGCTTCTCACGTCGGGATTCGGCTCGGCACCCTATACCCTAAACCTAAACCTTTCAGGCGAGTTTGCTTCGACCTGGGTCTTTGCGACTTTACCGGGCGCCTAAAACACCCCAGAACCCCTCTGAGACCTCTGGCAAGCGGTCCTGGGCGCGCTGGCCAGACCAAGTACCCTGCTTGAAAAGGCGAGTTTGCGCAAAGGCTGGATGGTCATGAGGGTAGAACAAGCAAGTCACAAGCTCTGAAAGTCAGTATTCGGGCTTCAACAACTGGAACAAGGGTTTAAAGGAAAAGTATAGCGTACTATGAACAGGAACCACAAGGTGAGATTATTGTCAGATAGACAGCCCCCTACGGAAAGCCCTAAGCCCAAACACTCCACAGAGCCCCAAACGTGCCGTCGTTGCTATGCCAGTCGGCCAGGACTTTCTGCCACTCTGAGGACTTCAGGTGAAACCTGGGCAATAGGGATTGCTCACGACTTTGGTATGCGTGGTGCAGGCTTCCTGATACCAGGTTTAAGGCCAACAGCTCTAGTCATAGTGGGAGATCTGGGAACATCACGGCCGTGAGAAACCTAGGACCAGTAAAGAGATGTCTACATCAACCTTTGAGTCTATATAATTTACAACAGATATACATAGACATGTAAAGTGAGCATTCTAAAACGGTGAAGTACAAACACTCAGAGCTATCAGCGGTTCTGTTCTGAAAGTAAGTGTGCCCTTGTAGCCCGACTACATCTTGCTGCACGTTGGGGTTCCCAGACAACCGTAGGATAGCACCTACTAGACCCTATTGATTACTATACTACCTTTCGTGGTAACCATTTCCCCCTCCCATAAAAGATACCTTGCTTCTAGGGTAGTCCAACAAGGTACCAGGATCCTGGTAAAGAGCCCCGAAGTTACGGAAGGTTTTGCGAATAAAGACCTCCCCAGACCTTACTAGGAGTCATGCCTTCCAGTTAGAAGGCACTGGTTTTCACCGTGGCTCTTTGCGTGGCTTCTGCTTGTCGGGCGATTTAACACAAGTGGTTTCTTAATCAGACGTTTACTTTCGACGTGAAACCAACGGCTCATGAACTGCAAACGAGCCGATGACTTGAAATGTCACCGTCAGGCCAAGTCTGACTCAGATTCAATTATAAAGCCTTACAAAGCTTGACCTGTCTAAACATGACGGCTGCCATCTATTTTGGACTAGATACGCTCGTCTGCCGACTATAATAACTCCTTTAAAGGGTTCTTGAGGGCGACTTGAGGGTGGGTCCTAGTAGCACCCAGAAACCTCACACGCTATAAGCCCAAATGATTTCCACCCTGAAGAAAACCCTAAACCCTAAACCGGAGGACCGGGGTCCCCGCCAGTCAGATGGGACGATGTCTTCCATGCGACAGAGGATCTCGGAAGCGGCTGATGCATTTGGAAAAAGAGGCAAGTCTAGGCTGTGGTTTCAGGTTTGGGGTCTTCCTGCAGTTAAGAGAAGAAGAAGCATGGGCTTACCCCTTTGGCTTGGCGGTTTAGGGTTCAGGAGCTTCGGGTTTCTGAGCTTAAGGTTTAGGGGAACCTTCCGCTGAAAAGCTCCTTGTCCATACAACCTCGCATACTGCGTGGATGTCGATCTGGTTTTGCCGCCTACGTCAGCATCCAGCATGCTATCCCCCTAATTAAACCAGACCCGAAACCCAAAGCCCTAGACATTCATGAAGCCCTGAGCTCTGAGCATTCTCCCTTTGCCGTATAAATCCCAAGGACCAAGGACAGCTTCGACTCTCAGTCTGAAGGTGGCCCCCTGCTTCTGGCCTTGTGCTTGAGGACCCACTTGTGCAGGTAATCCTGTCTAACATGAGGGCTTCGAATTTAAAGTCGGGTTTCCTGTTGGAAGCGGGGGTATGCTAGAGATGGTTAAAGTTAAAATAATATGAGGTTGCATAGTGACTACAAGAGAAAGGTTTGCTGCTTGAAGAATAGTGCCAAGTTCGGGGCTTTTGGGCTTTCGGGCTGTGGGGGTAAAGGGCTGCGAGTGTTGGGGGCGGGGGACGAAGACGGAGCATCAAAACTATAAGCTTGGTGGACTCAGTTTCTCCATCAATGGCGTCTGAGAGCCTAAACCGACACCCCCAATCCAAAAAGGTTTAAGGTTTAGGGGCTACAGGGTTTTATGGTTTAGGGGTTATAGGGTTTGAGGGTTTAGGGTTTAGGTAAGCCCTAAATCACATACCCCTTGTAATATCCTTCACCTTAGACAGCCCGGAACCGGGCCTGTCATCGACCCAAAATTTCGAACCTAAGCATTCGGGTTAAAGCATCGTAGCTTGCGCGACCATGACAAGACTCGAAATCGCAAATCCTCAAGCCCTGAAACCTAAACCTTAACATCTACAACGTCTTTGGAACAACCACAACTAGTGTTCGTCTTAGCGGTTTAACGCTTCTCAATACACTGCAAGCCTGAAACAGCTGAAAATTAAACCAAGGCTCGAACATGTTAAGCAGGAAAGACTCAAACCTAACCCTGCCACGGAGTGGGGCGGCACAAACGCCCGCACCTATGCTTAAGGGGGAAAAGAGCCCTCATTTCCAAACCCAAAGCAGCCTTAAACCGCAATCCCTAAATCCGTCTCCTTGCAGACCTCTTGTGGGTTCCAGGCGAAGCGGATCTCGTCGAAGCCCTGAATTATAGATCCACGGCTCAGGGCGAGTGACATGGGAACCGCTGAGTTGGGGATCTTTGATTGAAGGCTCACCGCCGGGCTTGGGATTTAGGGTGCAGGAGAGCAGGATTGGTTCACAGAGCCGTAGCGCCTTCTGCAACAAGCTTGAGCAGTGTAGTAACTATGTAGTGGTACAGGCTTTTGAAAATTATCATTTGGATCCGTACTCCTGCATGCCCTTTTTCCGGAGGGCATTGTCTTAGGCAGAATCTCATCGATCGAACACCATTGCAGCAACGACGTGATCACAAACGTTCGCTTGTCCTTTGCAAAGAACGGGACCACGACTAGTCGCACACCAGCCTCGTCACACAGTTGACGCTTTCTATCATCCCTTTCTTGTTGCATTCGGAAGCTGGCGGGGCGGCCGAAGTGAAAATAGTTGTCAGGATCGTAGTGCTGTTCTCCTTGGTACTCGAAAGCCAAGGACATTGCCTTGCAGTAGCCGTCAAGCTGTAGACCCTCCAGGAAACTGGGACGGGAAGAAACAAACTTCGCAGGACTGAAAAGAGCTTCGAAAATTTCGCGAACTGATGATTCGGTCCTCCCGGCCGCACACTGCGGACACCAGCTTTTCTGGTTCAGCACATGCATCGCAGTCGTCTTCCATCTGTGCCCCTGTTTGCATTCCCAAAGAAGCTTCTGCTGGTTGTTTTTGTAGGTCTTGGCAAGACACTCGCCACCAAGCGCTGCGGCATGTGCTTGAAGCCGGGCGAGACCAATTCGCCGCGATGCACGCTGGCATTCTGGACACCAACTGCCGAGCCTGAGAACACTGTTGGCAGTTGCAAACCATTCGTGTCCTGATGAACACCTCCATCTCAACTTGAGTTGGTTATTTATATACTCTGTAGCTAGACACTCTCCGCCAAGGTGGGCCGCATGTCTGCGCAATCGCTCGATGCCCAAGGGCGCGGTGCCACCACAGACCGGGCACCAAGTGCGACCATTCAGAACTTGGTCCGGTGAGGCTTGCCAATCATGGCCCTTGCTACACCGCCACGGCACTTTGTTTCTCATAGTGGAGAACTGAGTCGCCAAGCAAAGGCCGCCGAGAGATGCTGCATGCATGTCTACGAAGGTCTTGCAGGCCACGCTTTCCTCGCACCTGCCCTTTACGAGAGCACCGTGGGCACCAGGTATTCTTGTGCAGAACACTGTGAGCGGTCGCGCTCCATGTGTGCCCCATCTTGCACTGCCACCGAAGCTTTTCTAGCATGTTCCTGACTTCTGCAGACAAGCATTTTCCTCCTTGCTTGTTGGCGTGATTTTGCAGTCTCTGCAGAGGGACTCTTTTCTCCGCATGAGCGCAGCTGGGACACCAAGAAGCAGCATTCAAAACATTGCTCGGAGTGGCGTGCCACCTGTGGCCATGACGGCACTCCCATTCGACCTTCGTTTTGGAATTTACGTACACCTTCGCAAGGCAACCGCCGCCCTTGCCTGCCGCGTGCGCTTTCAAACGTTGGAGGGATGCTTCCAGCTGCTCCAATCTGTTGGCCCCTCGAGTCGTTTTGACAAGCTTTGATCTGCCAGACTTGGAGTCGCTTCGTATACACTGCCTGCGTAGAATCCGCCCACAGCTCCCAACAGCTACGAAAAGAGCCGCTAGTGCAGTGTGATTGCGCAGAGTGTGGCTGCCAAGACTGCTGCTCGAAAGTCTCTCACAACTGTCACGCAAAGACCTCCCGGAATCGACACCATTCGCAGGCTGCCTCAAGGTCCAAAGAGGCACCCATGTAGCTGCTGAAGGCGACTTCCAAGACAGCGGATGACTGCCAGTCCACATCCCGTTGATTCCACCCACGAGACGGCATCTAAAGACTTGAGTAATAAATCAGCAAAAAGGTGCACTGTGTATCGTGCTGCGGACTAGATACCACGCAACGTAACTCTCCTTGCAAGTTGACGGCTTGCACGACGGATCTAGAGTGTAGGTGCAAAAACCGTCAAAACAACAGCCGCTCTCACCAGTCTGACCACACAGCTCGCATCTCTCGAGTTGCGGGTGACTGTATAATGCTGCAGCCAACAACTTATGGCAAGCAAATTCATGGATGGACTGCGGTGCAACGAGGGCTACGACTACAGATATGGGAAGACGGAAGTTAAGCAGTCCTGTTCATTGTATTGTCATCTTCAGACTCCCGCATTGTAGCACTGCGAAATCGATCTTCTAGTCATTCCTGACCAGCTAACTCTGCGTGGAGAGCCTCGTCTGCATCGGGGAGGCAGAACTTGGCAAAGTGACCTGGGAAAGTGAGACGACTACAGGCCGTTTTAAGGTTGAGTGCTTACGGCCAAGTGGTTTTAAGACATGGAGCTTCGGCTCCAGGGTGGTAGCGCAAGCGGAACTCTGTAAGTGGCACTGGGCTTTCACAGAGAGAGACTGTGTCCAACGAACGTCCCCCCATGGTAGACCGCCGGCTAACAGGGACCTCTGCAAAGTACCCCTGGTGTGTTGAAGTACCCCCCCCATGCACAGAGACTAGCTGCTGCAGGAAGAGACCGAAGGATCATCGATCTGATTTTAAGGTATCTTCATAATTCCTTCACATCATAATAAGGCTCCCAGTTACACTTTAAGGTATCTTCCTATATTCAGGGAGATATCCCTTCTCAACATAATATACGGAGCCCAGAGGGCTTTGGAGTCTCTGGGAACCATCCACCCAGGCCAGCCGGGTCCGAAGCCTCCCAGTGTCCAGCTGGTGAGGTCTGTCGCTGCCTGAGCGGCAGGAGGCTTTATAGGGTTATAGGGTTTTAGGCTTTAGGGTTTAGCGGTTTAGGGTTTAGGGGTTTAGGGTTTAGGGTTTTAGGGTTTAGGAATTTAGGGTTTAGGGTTTAGGGGTTTAGGGCTTAGGGGGTTTAGCGGTTTAGGGTTTAGGGTTTCCCTGGATGGCTAGGGTTGTGCAGGTTTAAAGCTTTACTATAGGGTTTGGGACATACGGCTGTCGTTGACGCTTCAGTGATGCTCGGTGTATTAAGGGCTCAGGGCTTGGGCTTTGAAGATATTCCATGAAGCAGACTTAGGATGCCCGAAGAGTTTCATGCGTATTAATTAACCAGGCACTGGCAGCTCACTGGCATTCCGGCAACTGCACTGCACGCATACCGGTGAACACGCTATACAAGAAATGCTAAGAATAGGTACATGATCACGGCCATAGTGCAACCATGATCATGACACTACTCACCATAATATACCGCTTCTCCGAACTGTAGAGCTGATAATGTTGTCATTCTCCGCCTGCAGCTCTCTTGCTAAACGCCCACATCTGTCAACTGTTTGCTTCGCCTCCTGCGCAAACTCCAAACCAAGGACCTCCTCCCTCCACCCTGGGCCCAAACTCCCGAAACCTTCGAGCCAGAAAACCCTCCAGCCTTCATGATACAAACCCAAAGCCCAAAGCCCTAAACCCCAAACGAAGTTCCCAAACCTGGAGTCTCCAAACCCTAAACCCTAAACCCTAAACCCTAAACCCTAAACCCTAAACCCTAAACCTGAAGCCCAAAGCCCTAAACCCCAAACGAAGTTCCCAAACCTGGAGTCTCCCACCCAGAAAAAAAAAGCAACAGCCCACAGCCTTCGGCGTGAAGAAGATGGCCTTCTCCTCGTCCGTGAGGGTCGCTACAGGCCTTGCGTGGCACAAGATGAAGTTGGGGGTCCCGACTAAACTACAAAGATGAGGTAGGATTCAGGGTTTATAGGCTGTAGGTGTAGGATTCTGGGTTTAGGGTTTCGGGGGCCCTTCCGACAACCTGGTCTACCTTACGTACAGATCCTTATAATGAGCATACTACTATTTACCGTTACGTCCGAGTCTCCTTCCCCTGCACCTCATAATCCGGAATCCCCAACTCCGTGATGCGAAACCTGCCACGCATCGCAAACCTACAACCCATGATCCTAAAACCGCACGGCCCCATGATCCAATGACCACTCAACACATCCCAAACCCCGAAACCGACAACAAAAACCACAAATCCTGAAACAGACTCCTAATGATCTGAGGAACCGCTACACCAACCCTACCTGAGGAACACACACACACACACACACATGCACCCTTAAGCCGTAAGACCTTCTAATATAGGGGCCTTAATACTTAGAATAGGGTTTGGGGTTTTTTAAATATTCTACTATAAAAGTAATAAGGAAACCCCAAAACCCTATAAGGAACCCCCAAAACCCTATAAGGAACCCCCAAAGACCCTATTCTAATGGCCCTACATTAGCCCCCTTGCGAAGTGCCCTTCTCCGGCATGTCTCCGGGCCTGGGCTCCTCAGGCTCTTCGACTTCCACCTGCGAAGGCTAGCTTTACTCTACCTTAAGAACCCCAAACCCACTTTCTTGTAGGTTCTTATTATAAACCCTAATATGGGATTTATAGGGACCCTACAAAAAAGTAGGTTTTGGGTTCTTAAGGTAACCCTGGTTTAGGGTTTACGGTTTAGGGTTTAGGGTTTACTCTAACCCTAAGGGTCCAAGTCTTCAAGTACCTAATGATCATATGCTCTCCCATATAGTAACCTACATAACTACTATCCGAAACCTAAGTACCTGATTACTGGATCCGTTGGACCCGTGGGGGCAAGAATCGGGGGACTTCGCAAGTGGGGCGGCAGTTTCAATGGGCATGTTTTTGTTCTTGGGGTGCAGGGAGTTGCAACGGATGTTCACGCTAGAGGACGAGGAGAACCCGTAAGTCGGGTCATAAGTTTAAGGCTGATAGCAGTTCGGGGTTGGTTCAGCATTAAATGCCCCTCGGCCTGGTGTAATCTACATAGACGGCATTAGACGGCTTGATAGACAGATAGATAGGTAGATCGATCGATAGATCAATAGATAGATCGACGGATAGATAGACGATAGATATACAGAGAGATTGATTGATTGATACAGTGCTATAGGAGTTCGTCGCTGCGAGGTTTTGGCGTGTCCGGTCTTGGGGTCGAGGGCTTTTGTTGCTTGAGGTTGAAGGATTCGACGCGCGCAGTAGTTTGGGGCCCTTACAAGTATTTATGTGAATATGTACCTCTATAGGGACCAGAAGGGAAGTTCTAAAGTTTCGCAAAGTGCCACCTAGGTTAGTTGAGGACGACCGGCGGAGCCCCAGACACCACAATTCAATAACATTCTCGATCCAAGAGAAGGAAGCCTCCTCAATTCAAGCTACATCCCTTAGTTGACGTATGAGTGTGCAAAGTTTAGGACATGGGTGTTAGAGCGTTGGGTTTATAGGGTTTTTAGAGTTTGGGGTTAAAGGATGACAGTAGGGATATCCCGAACAGCCTTCCATGAGCATCCTTCGTCACCGCCTTGAATTTCAATCCCCAGCAGCAACGGGCGATCAAGTCTTCACTTGAAGCGTCAGGGGACTGAGTCAACAGGGTCAAGCCAAGGTAAGGCACCTATAACCTTATAACTTTCCAAGGTCCCCTGATCCTCCAAGCACCCCTCCTAAACCCTAAACCCTGTAAACCCTATAAACCCTAAAACCCTAAAGCCCTAAACCCTAAACCCTATAAACCCTAAACCCTTCACTCTGATGCCTTCTTCTCCTCTTCTTCCTGCTTCACCTCCTCGGGGCGAAACATTGGACGCACCCGTAACGTAGGCGCCTTAATCATTAGAATAGGGTTTTGTGGGTATATTGTACTACAACGAACATAAGGATCCCCCCAACAGTATATATTTCGGCCCCTATCTATAGTAAAGGAAGACTTGTCATGTCACCTCCAGGATCCTGAACAGCGGAGAATCATTGGACACGTGCTTTCGGGGGCTGTATACAAAACTCCATCTAAGCATACAGGGCGCTGCATGATAGACATTTGCGAAGGATGAGATTGCAGTTGAAACGGGCAGAGAAACGGAGACTTCGAACCAACACTCTGTTAGTGAGTCAACTGTTCGATAGTCCGCAATCGCACAGATTTGCTTGGCCAGTGCCCTTGCGGCTTAAGTAGGTGGCCGCAAAGTAAGCGACATCACACACTTTGGATCCGAAGGCCAGCGTGCTCAAGTGGCAGCGTCGGACGGTGCTTCGCAACTCCAACGCCCCAAACCAAAACACTCCAACAGCCTTGGATGGTCTAAATTATTCTAAATTTCACAAGATGTACGTCCTCAGCGGCAGGATATCCCTAGGACTCCAAGTACCCCCCCCCAAGTTACTATTCATACGAAACTTTAGAGCCCAAAACCCTGAACCCCTGAACCCTAAACCCAAAGCCCCTGAACCCTAAACCCTAGACCCTAAAGCCCTGAATCCTAAACCCCTGAACCCTAAACCCAAAGCCCCTGAACCCTAAACCCGAGACCCTAAAGCCCTAAATCCTAAACCCCTGAACCCTAAACCCTGAACCCTAAACTTCGAAGCGACCGGCCTCCAGCTTCACCTGCTTGCGGCAAGGAGGCTGGACTTCTCACCGCTTCGTTGGGCCCGGGTGTTGTTTTTAGCTGGACTCAACCCTAAACCCTAAACCCTAAACCCTAAACTCTAAACCGTGCAGGCTGGACCCATTTTCGAGGGCTTTGGTTTGAAGGTTTAAGGTTCAAGGGTTTAGGGTTAAGGGGTTTAGGGTTTGGGCTCCGTGGTTGAAAGCTACGACAGCCAATCAAGTCATTTCCTGGGCGGAGGGTTTACGGTTGGGGTTCGTTGGGCCAAGGCTAAAACAGTTAAGAAGCCGAGGCTGAGGCTGTCTGGTACAAGCTTGAAACTGAGAGGAACCTCATGCAAAGGAGCTGAACATTGCCTTCCCGGAATGCTTTATTATGCTGCTATTTGTATGATAAAAGCAAGAACAAACATGGCCTCACTTACGAAGCCATTCTCTCCCCGTCGGGATCTGCCGGGCTTCTGGGTCTCAGGATCTGAAGCTGTGCCGATACACGGTATGAGGATCAGCTGTGGATCATTCTAAAAAGATAATCGCACCCTGCACCCTGAACCCTAAACCTAAACCCGACACCCCAAACCGCACGCAGTCCCAAACTGCCACCTCGCCCTCCATCTTCACGTCGGGCTTAGCTTCTGTCTGCTCCTGCTTCACCTCACCTTGGGTCCAGGAAGACAGGATTCGGCTTCGGGCTTCGGGTTGCGCCTCCAACTAATGAGGGAGACAGAGAGAGGGACAGAGAGAGAGAGAGAGAGACAAAGAGGGAGGAGAGAAGAACAGAAAGACAGAGAGAGAGAGAGAGGGTCTAGGCGGCAGATAAAGGAACTGCCTTCCGAAATTGGCTGCGAGCTTGGGTGGTCCTACCAGGCCCTATACCCATCTAGAGTCTAGAGGAAAGCACGGCAGAACGGTTCACCCCTCAAGGGCTTGATCAACAAGTCCAGGTCAATAAACATGAGTAAGGGTAATTGAACGTAGGGGGCTGTTCGCTTTGGAGAGTTTGGCAGGTGGGTCAGAAGATTCAAGGTGGCTTCGCAAACAGCCTCAAGCACGCTCGTCTGCCTCGTTGTCGTCCAGCCAGTTCTTCAAGGCTTGGTCTAGAACCTCCAAAGGCGCTTGGTCCGTCGGCTGCCATTTGTGGGCCTTTTGGCTGGACCACAAAAACGCTTCCGTTGCACACGACCCCGAGAGCTGGAGGAGGACGTCGCGATTTCTCCGGGTCCTTCTTGTTGAAGAGGAGCAATGCAGTGCCATACTGACTGTCGTTGGCGATTGCTGGTCTTGCGGGCTCACCTGTTTAAGGCAACGCAGGCTGCTCTCCGAGGATACGATCCTTGTATAGCCTGGCCTCCCCCTCGATAAGGGGTCTGGCAACGGCTTTGTCGGCGAGTGTAATCCGGAGCCCAGGATATTTTTTGCTGCTAAAGGGCATCATGCCCCACCCCTACATGGACCCGAATGCTCTCTGAAACAGACCCTTCCCTGCAAAGAGATCCTTCCCTGTGTGGACCACTTCCCAGCAGGTTCCTGTAGGCTCTAGAAAAACGGAACTGGCAGGCAACAATCAGCGACAAAGCAGGCCCGAAGAAAGTCCTTGTTTCGGCTGTATTTCAGAATCAACGTGTCAGGAAGCTTAGGAGGTAAGGCTGCAAGCACCTTCTTGGTCCTGGGTTGAGTGATGCTCCATGTATCGTAAGTATACAGCGATGTAGATATAGATAGAGAACGAAGGCAAAAATGTGCGTTTATACCGACCCCCCCCCTCTTCTTTGGCTGAAGCCTACTTACAAGGTTGAAAATGTGTGCCAAGGCTTCTCACTGAGAAAGCTTGCGGAACTACTCTTACCTACCTACCTACCTACCTACCTACCTACCTACCTACCTACCTGCCGACCGACCGACCGACCTACGTACCCACGTACCTACCTACCCACCTGCCTGCCTGCCTGCCTGCCTGCCTGCCTGCCTGCCTGCCTGCCTGCGTGCCTGCCTGTCTACCTACCTACCTACCTACCTACCTACCTACCTACCTACCTACCTACCTACCTATATAGTTACGTACCTTGCTGCCTGCCTACCTACCTGCCGCCTGCCTACCTACCGTATTATATATATATATATAAAGCCCAACAGCAGCCAGAAAAGATCTGTATACCATCCCTCTATAAACCCTACGTGCCACTCCTTGAGAGCATTTCGTCATCCAACAACCCAAAAGCCTGAATGCAAAACCCTGAATGCACAACCCCAAACCCCAAACCCTGTAGTCCTTTGAGGAATGTGCCGGTAGCAGGGGCACCCTCGGTAGCCTGGCTGAGGGCTCTACTTCGAGGCTCGAGTTATAAGTCCCTCAAAGTTTAGGGTTTGGGGTTTAGGGTTTAACTATAGTTAGTTTTCCTACTTACACCCAACTTGTAACTACCCATGAACCTCCAAGTAGGGCCTTTATGGGGGAGTTTGGGGGAATCTAGGGGTCTGCTGTAGGTGCCTAGGGGTTTCGGGATCTCGTAGTCTGATGTTTTGGGTCTGGCATCCGACAAGGTTGCAGGGCTTCGGTCCAGGTTTTGGAGTGTTTTGGGCTACAGGGGTCTGGTGTATGTAGGGTTTAGGGTTTAGGGTTTAGGGTGTTTTGGGCTACAGGGGTCTGGTGTTTGTAGGCTTTTGTAGGGTTTTGCTGGAGGTCTAGGGGTTTAAGATTTGAGCCCCAGTGGTTTATGGATTGGGGTGCAGCATACTGCGGTTTGCAGGCAGACTTGGGATTGTCGCGTTGCTGACAGCCAAAGCCCTAAGGGTCCATGTACTCTAATAGTGGAGCATCAGCCCTAAAGTACCTGTACAGGGACTACATTAAGGCCAAAGTATAGATTATTTGGGTACAGGGACCCTTAGGGAAAGGATAACCGTTTTACACCGACAGCGACCGCAGTAGGTGTGTTGTACGGGCCTATAGTTGTCCAGAAACGAACGGACTGGCGCTGCATTGGGGAGAGAACGAGAGATAAACCCGATTTCAGAAATTTAAAGAGGAAAAGAATATAGACCCCCGGAAAGTAGGATCCTTATGCAGAAGCAAACGTCCATAGTAGCCCCCCGCTTGTGCAGGTTAAGCTCTTAGAGCTTGAGACGATTGAGAGGGAAGTTTACGAGGGCTGAATGATTCGGATCTGGCCTTGAGGCGTGAGGGTGTAGGTTAAGGTTAGATTCAAGATTGAGGGCTCGAATCTTGAGGATGGTTGCGAGGAACATCTACTTAAAGGAGCAGGGGACATAGAAAGTAGGGCAGGCGTGGGATAGTTAGAGTAATATGTCCTGTTAGAGTATTTATGACTAACCTTATTTACTAAGTCCCCTGATTGTGGAATTGAAGAAAGAGTCGAGCGGATGCACTCTGACTGTGCTTGAACTCCAGAAGTTCGCATCACCCTGCAGTAGGCGGACCCAATACGACGACAAAAATCAGACTCGAAGCAGTGTATGACTCATAAAAGTGCCAAGCAAATGCAGCTTCGCAGCCCTCGACCCAGACGCTGCAGATGCAGTCTGTTTGCCGACACTGTGGATCCATGCAGTGCACACATGTATGTATACACGACCCCTTCGCTGACCTGGCCTGCACATCCATGGGCACCGCCTCCCCGGGAGGCATGCCCTCCGCCGGCGGCGGCGCGCCCTCTGCGGGTGGCGCAGGCGCCGCCGCAGGGTTGGGGTCGATGGGGTTGCCGTCGGGGCCGATCTCGATGACGATAGCCTGTGCCTGCAGGAAGCTGGGTTTGGTGACCGTATTTCTGTTGCTTCGCAAAGGAGTTGTGGTGTACTGTTCTGGGAGATCGGGGTAGGGCGGCATGGCTGTAGCTCTGCCTGTTTGTCGAGGCTATCTCTACAAAGTTGCTCTATCGCAGTTCAGGCTTACTTGTGGCTGCTCTAAACATGAAACAACGGGGTTCACCCTTGTAAGCCCAAATCAAACGCTGTACAGCTCTCCTCTCTCTCGACCCTCAGTGCCTAAGATTCTAAACCCCGTTCCCAAAAAACTAAGCCACGAACTACCCACTTCACCCTCTAAACTCTGAAGCTTGAACCATAAACCACGAGGGCAAACCAAGAACAAATCCCAACCCTTGTAATCCCATGTCAGGTCAATGGCCCGTGGAGTGTAGAGACACTCCAAAACCTCCACTGCGACCACTTCGACTCGGCCCCAGGGCATCCGATACTTTCGTGTGGCAAGGGTTCGATACTGCTGTTCGATAGTCTAGCCTGCACATGACTATGTCACGGGAGGAAACGGAGGGTTTGCGACGATTCCCTGAACCCCGCCCTAAACCCTAAAGCCTCCAAGCCTAAACCCCAAACCCCAAGCCTTTGACCGTCAACCCAAACCCTAGAAGCCCTAAACCCTAAACCCCTGAACTCTAAACCCTGAACCTCTGAACCCTAAACTCTCAACCCCTGAACCCTAAACCCCTGAACCCTAAACCCTCTTCGCCTTTCGACCGTTTAGGGGCAATGGGTGTTCGAATCCAGACTCGAGGGCTTGGGGTTCAGGGGAGTCGGCGGGTTTTAGGGTTTGAGCTTTGGGGCCTGAAAAATTTAGACTAGGGTTTTGGGGCCCCATTATGCTATATTTTTTAATAAGGAACCGGGGTGTAGGATTTTAGGGTTTAGGGCTTGGGGTTTGTGTGTTTAGGGTTTTAGTCGTTTGAAGTTCAGGGATTTAGGGTTCGGGGTAAGCACGGCCCCTGTAAGGTATTACCCTGGGTTTTTTGTCGTTTCAGACTTCTGGGGTTCTAGAGGCTATCCCATTGAGGGATTTGGGCGATGTCGAGCCTTAGGATCATCATTTAAATAGTAGACAGGGTATTGGGCTCTCAAAGAACAACCTAGCACATTCCTATACCGTACATTGCATCCCTAGCCCTAACCCTTTCTGTCAAGATGCTCAGGTTGCCAATTAAGGCTTGCTTCTCTTATGTGCTTATCTTCCTCACACTTCAAGAACCTGTACCAAAACCCTACAAAAAGGAATCAATCAACAAAAGCAACCTCACAATTCGCAAGTGGCAACCCAAACTAAGTCTTGTTCGAAACAGGACTCCCGTCAGCATTACTACTAAAGCCAAAAGCACATGGTCCCTGAACATGGACCTTAACTAGTAAGGCCCGAGTTTTCTCCTGGCCCGTTATAGAATGCAGAGCACCTGCTCCTGCGCCAGGAGCTGTGCCTTTACTGCCTGCGAAGGCCATGTGCTTGTGGATTAACAAATGGTGTTTCTGTAGTTCGCCTCTACATGGCGGATTTCGGCCTTCGGGTTTCGGGTTTACAGTATACCTTGCTAAACCCTATACTCGAAATCCATACTTGTTGTCTGCTACCACCAAACGTAACCCTAAAGGCATAGCTATAGCTAAACAGTATAACTACCAACAAGCACGCATGCACACACCGTCACATACAAAGATTTGTTCAATCCCTGGCCCTCCCACGAGGCCAATGGAACCAAGCAGTCGTCGGCCGTGGACCACAGCAGCTCCACCGTCTTGTGTGCAGCCCAAAACTTCTCCAACCCGAACGAATCAGTCCCTGTGGTGCCAACCCTACATTGACCGATGCCCGGCTGAATGCTTGGAGCAATGCCTGACAGAGTCAACTTCGTCGGTCGTGGGCCTGTCAGTCCCCGCAGCCGCAGCCTTCCTCCTTGGCGGTGTCATCGGCTCTGGAATCCTGGGTTCCCACAGGACATTGGCACCACTCACGGTGGCCCATGTGCGTTCGCCGCAGGAGTCTGCCAAGCTTGTCTCTTTGACACTTGATTTCACACCATGAAAACTCAAAGAAAGGATTCTACCAGAACGGTGCGCAGACTTTGGTGCCGTCACGGAACGGCTCGCCCGAAAGCCTCCGAAACCAAAAGCCCTTATAATCCCAAACAGAGCGTGACCTCTGAACATCCCAAACCTGAAACAAGAAATGCTGAATCCGACAAGGCCGGGCCCTACAGACTAAACCCTCAAGCCCATCTCGAGAGCAGCCGTCAACCGAACCCTGAGCACGAAACCTCTGAAAACTGAAGACCCCCGCTTTGTACGCGCACACACACACACACTCTAAACGCACTATAAAGGATGCTTGGGATAATCCAGGACCGCGAGACCTCAATCAGCTCAAGCAGGAACACATGTTAAACACCCTCTGCAACCACATAAAGCCCTCTGAGCTCTTGAAACATTCCATGTAAACCTCGTTGTACTTCTGACCTAGCCTTCCATAAATTCTAAGCTTTGTCTTGCAAGCAGGACAACAAACAGAGTCGACAACAACAACAACAACAACAACAACTACAACAACAACTACAACAACAACTGCAGCAGCAACAACAACAACAGCAACAGCAGCAACAACATCAGCAACAAGAACAAGGAACAAACAAACACAGGGACCCCGTCAACCCATATATCTGCATTTTGTCTGTACATTGGGTAGAGCCAAAAACAGGGACCCCGTCATGTTGTTTTTACCCCCCAACAACAACAACAGCAACAACAACAACAACAACAACAACAACAACTGCAACATCAAGAGCAATGGCAACAGCAGCAGCAGCGACAACAGCAACAACAAAAGGAGCAACAGCAGCAACAACAATA